TTGATACGTAATGACAAACTGAATAGAGGTGGAGTAGCTTACCGCCACTCTCGGCAATGATGTTTATTCGCTTCTTCACATATCCAGAGTGTAACAACTTCATATATAACACACATATATATAGGAGAGAGATAGAAGAGAGACAGGAGAGAGATATATTAGAATAACGGCAAGAGAACAGACAGAGAAGGAAGGAGAATCATCGAACCGTGTCATCAATATCAGCACAGACAGGATAGATATATTAGAACAACGAAAAGAGAACAGACAGAGAAGAAAGGAGAATCATCGAACCGTGTCATCAATATCGGCACAGTATCAAAACGGGTGAATATCTTTGAAGTCTATTAAAAATTACAGATGTGAGTGCTTTTCGATGCACCCTGATAATATTGATGCGTCTGAGCGGTTTGTACTAGCCATAGAGCCTAAATCAGCCCAGTTATGAGAGAAATTTTTATAACAGATGGCGTTGCAAAATTTTCTATTAGTAAAATATATGCTGCACTGGTATCTTCTTGGTGAATTTGAACTCTTGGTAATAATTAATTTGATTTTGGGTAGAAAATTCTTTGCAATCGTTTACAGCTAGAATCAAAAGTCGTAAGTGCTGTCGTCGATTTTTATGAGTACTGCGGTATACTAGGGATAGTTCGAATGAACGTGAGGTTGTGTATTCCATTTGTGATGAACAGCAAATTTATAAAGAAAAAGATATAAATTGTTGTCAACTTAAAAAACTTTCTATATAGTCAAGAGAATGTCCTAACCTAGCTTTTCTAGCTCATCAACAATTACAACATTATCATCAATAACTTTTTCTAATCCTCATTCTATTCCTATGAAACCATCTCAATCATCAATTTTTGTTAATACTTTATCTTCAACTATCGGTGCTGCTTTATCCTCACATAGAAAACACTATACATTCGAACGGATCAAATTTCTTTCAAAACAAAAAAGAATCATCGGCATACGCTATTATTAAAAGGAAAAAAGCAAACACATCTTTATATCGGAAACTGTTTGATTTTCCAACTAAAAAATTAGTAAATATTTGTGGATTCGAGAGAAATGAAGGTTTTTCAAGTTATCAAATATGTTATTGAAAACTCGAAATATGATTGCACATTCATTTATTAACCGTTTGAGGACGGGAAGTCTATATATAGGCAACGGTTCTCGATCGACGTGCAACGCACTTGAATATGTCTTTCATTATATAGTGGTGATCTACATTTAGTGCAGACTATGGGTTCGTCACCATCGATGTGATACTACATGACCATATGTATTGTATTCTGATACACCTCCTTTCTAGCAGAGATATTATTTCGAAGTTTCGAGAATGTGATCTTTTTGAAAAGTAATCCCGTCCTCAAAGGGTTAAAGCTTTATCCAATGCAATTAGATGAGCGATCCATGGAGTGGATCAGATCAAAGGTCGATAACTGATGGACTGATTTTTTTCGCTTTAGCCCAGTTCATTGAGACTTCTGATATCACTAGATGAATCAATAGATAAAGAATATATTTTTCATAATCGTCGTTGAAGAAAATGTAGCGCATAACAGTAACTTCTCTAAATCATCATTCACTTCAGCAAAATCCCACAGATAGTCATCATTTTGAATTCTTCCCTAGCTTATTGATAATCTAATATATAAAACAAAAGGCAGCTCTTTGTATACGAAGTTTCGTTACAACTTCTTTCATCCTTTTGTTGGTTGCACATTTTTCTAAAAGAATCAATTTATTCAAGTTCATTTGTTATTTTACGATGAGTATGAACTTGTCCAAAAACAATGTAGTTTACACTAACGATGAATAATACTTTCATTTAGACGTCATTTTTTGTTGTTTTTAACATTCTGAATACTTATTCTGAGAGTACACACATTTTTACTGTATCTATATCATTAAAATTTGAATATCAAATAAACTATTTGAGTTTTTCTTATTCTAGGCAATGCTTCTTTTTCATATTGTAAAAACAGAAAAATATGTTTTTCTCTTTCATTTGTTTAATAAAGTAAAATAATTCGAATAAATGGGTTGCTAACATGTGATGAAATAACACACAGCATGTCTTTCATGCTCTTTATTTGATTTTCATAGTTGGAAACGTGAAAGCAAGCATGCGATCGTCGATTGTACATATTGTTGTTAGTCATAAATGCTTTCTTAATCTACCTAGAAGTACGAAACAAATGGGAGAAAAGGAAACACATAACAATACCAAGAATAGCAATCATTCTATAGAATTGAATCAGCTAAAATGAAGAACACTACAGAGTAGAATTTTTTTCTGAGTGAATTTCAAAATTTCTACAGCAATGAATTATTAAATCATCCATCTGTCACGATGTCTTCAAGAAAAAACAGTAGATCACATTGATCAATTGATTTTTCGTGTGTAGGTTTACAAAGCACAGAGTACTTAAGAACACATGTTGATCCTCTTTTGATTTTTAAGACCCAAATTAATTGCATAATATGTAGAACAAAACGATGGTGAGATTCTAACCATTTTAATGCAAAAATCAAGACATTTTAATTCAATCACAGTTGTGAAGAAATTCCATCTTTATGTCACACTCAATGAACAGTTAGTTATTGATACAAATCAACCATGCAAGCATTTGTTTGACAGAAAGCAAATAAAGATGAAGAGTGATTCGCAGTTATTTTGATAATCCTTTGTTTAGACTACATTTTTAAAATAAAAACATTCATTTAAAATAATCTTTTCAATTTACTAGGCCATATATAAATTTTCATTTGCTTCAATTTTGAATCTGAAATATACATGTGAATTCCACTTGTCATTTAATTATTTTTGTTAATGAAACTTTTTCGACACTTAATTTACCTTGTAGTTGATAGAGCTTTTGGAGCGTTACAAAACGTACTACTTTTTAAGTTCTAAATTAATGGATCACATAATAAAATTCTCAGGCCACTATGCTTGAATCTCAATTTTCAACTTTTTCAACGGATATTTGACAGTTGTCAAGCAGAATAATATCTATTTTACTTTAAACAAACAATGTATTTGGAATCAGCACAAAAAAGTGAGTCGCCTATTCTGTATTTCAAACATTTTCTGTCACTTTTTTTCTGATGAAGATTTCTCAGTTGGCCTCCTCAAAGATATGTGAAAATCGAATTAAATTAAAAATTCATTGCGGCAATGAAAAGTAAGTTCTACACTAGTATAATATTCTTTGAAGGCAACAAGACAGATGGCTAAACAATAAAATGTTGCATTGATTAAATGCATGCATTCATATATTCTTGAGGGGATACAGATGTGAGAATTTCATCAGAAAGGATAACAGAAAAAGTTTGAAACATGCATAAGTCGAGTCACTTCGTTATGCTGATTCCAAATATATTGCTTGTTTGAAATGAAACAAGTATTATTTAGCTTGAAAATTGTCAAATATCAGTCGAAAAAGTTGAAAACTGGGCTTCAAGAATAGTGGACTGAAGATTTTCTTATGTGACTCACTATTCTAGAACGTGAAAAGTAGCTCGTTTTGTAACGATCCAAAAGGTCTATCAATTACGAGGTGAATTAATTGTCGTGAAAGTTTCATTAACAAAAATAATTAAATGACAAGTGGAATGCATATTCATATTTCACACTCAAAAATCTAAACAATGCAAAATTTGTATAGAATATAGTAGATTCAAAAGATTATTTTGAATGAATGGCTCTATTATGAAAATGTAATGTAAACAAGAAGCTCTTGGGATAACTTTCAATCACTCTTCATCTTTATTTGTTTTCTATCAAACGAATGCTTACATTACTGACTAATATCTATAACTAATTGTCAATTTAGTATGTCGCAAAGATAGATCTTATTCACAGCTTTGATCAAATTCAAGTGCCTCGGCTTTAGCATTAAAATCATGAAAAACTCATGATCTTTCATTCTATATATGCCACAATCAGATTAGACCTTGAAAAAAAGGAGTCAAAATGTATTTTTACGCACTCCCGTTCTTTTTCAATTCTTTTTAAAGCCAATTAAAACTAATCTATTCAAGCATACGAAAAAGAAAGAGCGTTGTATGTTACGAAAAAGAAAAAAAAAAGAACCGTAGATGCATCTAAACTATTATACAACGAAAGCATGTTTGTTCTGCTTGGTTTGACGATAAGGTTACATTCACTATCGCTTTTTTTCGTCGAATATCACTACCGATATTCTTCATATGATTCTCACTGAATTTTATGTTTGAAAAAAAGAAAAAGGACAGAGACACAAAGAAATTTGACGAGCAACAATTGTTATTGAGTAATACAAGTCGAATATCTTTTTTATAAATATCACAGACAGTTTGCACAACAGGTAAAAAAAAGAAGAACAAGAGAAAATTGCTTTTTACGATTCTCGAAAACGATTAAATCATAAAAGATAAGAAATAAAATCAAAAGAAGCACGGATAGATTCGATATAATAAATGTTTGAAGAGGCAACAAAAACACAAAGAAGCTCTACAGCAGCATCTGCAAATGAACGACGGGAAACGCTCCCGAATATACGTTCATCGGTATGGTCTATCTATTAGAACATCAAATATATTTTTGTTTTTATATAGTCATTTTCAGCGGATAACAATCAACAACGGACTATGTCAACAACGGAAATCGACCTTGAATCAGTTCTTCAAGTTCGTCGTCGTGGATTATCTAGCGCAGGTCTTTCAGCATCTGTAGAATCTTATCGCTATACTGATATAATAATTTTAAAAGTTGAAAAATCAAATGATATACTTAAAGAAGATGCACGATGTGTATTTCATGGTTTGTTCTATGTATTTCAGTTTAAAAAAATCTCATTTAATTCTTTTATTTATGTTAATAGGTGATTATCATGTTTTAACAGATATATTTCAAAAATATACATCGCATATTAAAATTCATCATGATGATCCTGAAATGGTTAAAAATCATGATCGTTTATCAGGAAAACTTTATACAACAATTGAATTACCAACAATGTCATTAATTGAGGTATTGGAAATTTTACATAAACATTATTTTTCAATTGTGGCTAATTCAACAAATTTTGCATCAACAACTAAATTACAAGAATTTATTTTATTACGTAATAAGGATATACAGGATAATGCTCGCTCTTTACCAATAATTGATACAAAAATTCATTGAACTTTAAAAATTATATATTCAAAAAAAAAAAAAGAAAATAATAAAGAACATTAACATTATATTAGTTTTTCATTTATGTTTAGAATTAGTCACTATTTTTTCTTGTCTTTAGATACAAATGTCTTGTTCTCCTAATATAGGTAGTGTCGACCTTGAATCTGTACTTAATGTTAGTCGACGAGCATTATCATCAATTGATGAAACAAGTTTACCTTATCAACATTATCGATATACAGATACAGTTTATTTAAAACGTGAAGGTAATTCTAATTCATTATTTTCAATTGATTCTAAAATACTTATTTTCGGTGAATTACAATTTCTATGCAATATATTTGAACGTTATAAATCGACTATAACTGTTTATGAGAATTCAAGTGAATCAGATTCGAATAAAGCAAATTTATCAGTCACCTCTAAAGAAAATAAAACTATTGATGAGAATGATACGAATGCATCAAACATTGTTTCAACAGGTAAATGAAACTTCAACATCTCCTCAATCATCATCTACATTCAACGTAATAGGTACTACAATTAGACGTAAATCTATAAGTACGTTTGGACATTCACAAAGGGCTCCTTCAATAACTGGTGATTATTCTGGACAACGTCTTGAAGGTAAACATTATGGTTGCATTGAATTACCAGAAATGAATTTGATTGAGATCCTTGAAATACTTCTACGTACTGGTCTAGAATTAGTCCATGAATTGAATGATTATGATGGAGAAAATGTTCTTCATCAAAATTTTATTTTTTCAAAACGACTTTCCATGTCACAAAAATCTGGACAATCACTTCATTCAAGACGATCATCATTTCTTGGCACTTAATAAACTTGACAAGAATGAAATCAAATAAAACAAAAACTGTGTTGTATTTAGAATAGAATTTTCTTTTTTTTTTGTATGAGTAAAACATTCAATTTTAGTAACTATTATAAAGTAAAAGATGTGTAGTAATATAGTATTAAGCGATAAAAGGCATATGAAATAAATCGAACAGGATGCTTTGAGTTGACCAATAACTCAGACAATATGTAATAAAAATAAAGAGATATTTTTGATGTTATTTTACTAAATGTGTAAAATAGTCACCATTATTATTCATAGAAAGTTCTATCTTTCTTAACAATTTGTCAAATGTTTTTTAAATCTACCTCGGAAATCGTACAAGTCAATCAGTTTTCATTTGTTTGGTCGATTGAATTACACTTGATATAATCATTTAGGCAAAACTCACATCGTACAAGATCTGGTGAAAACGGTAAATGTAGTATTACAGTGATATCGTCTTATTTTAAATAATTAATAACACCTGGATAAGTATGAGGTCGAGCACTGTCATAAAGTAATTTTATACCTTTTGCACCTAGTGACTTTCTTTATTTCATCATTTCATTGACAATACACCTGAGGCAATTTATAATATAATAGCTGTGATATATAATCTTCTCTTCATCTACACTATGCATAAGAATAGAATCATCCCGTGTCACACATTTATTCGCAATACCATTGGTAGCGCTTACAACTTTCAGTTTCAACTATAAACGGTTGCAGAGAGTATTTTCTACTCAAATTCATCGAGGCAAAACAATTTCAAAACATATTTGACTAATAAAATTTTTATAACATCATCTATAATAAAAAGTTTATCTTAGAACAGGAATCAATCTGGACTCTATTGTAGCTAGTACAGGTAGCACAGATGCATCAACATTATCGAAATGTGTCGAAATCAACTCAATTATGTCAGTTTTAACAGACTTTTAAAATATTCGTCTGTTTCGATACAATACACAATGATATATCACTTTGAAACAAAACTGGTGATCTACCAACGGGTTTTTGTTTCGGTTCGAATTACATGAAATTTGATTTAATGAATATAGAAAACAACATTTTCTGGTTCAGGTCTACTTCAACGAGCAATAGCCGTTGGTGATTCATCTCCACTAATCTAGCTTACACTAGTTGACTTGTGCACTAACCTGTCTATAATAAATCCATATCCCGTTGCATGTAATAATACTACATAATCGCCATAATCCGTCACGAAGTGTTGCTAAATTTTTACGATAAATTATACTTCGTTTTTGTTTTTGATTGTACTATGAGAGAGAAGTCTCAAATATACCATCATCATAAGTTGAATGTGGATCGTGGTTAATAACCTGTTGTCTCAGTTTAGTACTTACATCTGTGTTAGGTCGGAAATCGGACTATCAGATCGAGGGTCATCGTTGACATCTTACTTCACTTCATAAAAAACGCTTTGCCCACTTTGCAACTGTTCAATATGATGCAATGTTAGGCTCCAATGCTAATGTAAGTTTCTTTTAAATTATTTTTGCATTTATTCACAAAATAGTCCTGTTTTTAATATAGTATCAATGGAAATCATTATCCATTTTTCAAATTTTTTTGTTGGAATTAGGTTTTGTATGAGACAATATTAGAACTAAAGCCAAAATAGATTTATAGCATATATTATTATACACAGTACATTCCACTAGTCATTCATGTAGCAGACTCTTAAATGTTAACTAGTTTATAAAATTTCTAGTAATATCACCAAAGTTTCTGGTCAGCCCTAAGTATTAAATAACTAATGATGAGAAATAGAGAAATGTTTAAGTTTTATTTAATTAAAATATACTTTGTCATCAGACAACAACATGTAACATATGATTTTATTAAAAATAAAAAAAAGAGACATTAATTTAATTATGTTATCCCGTTGGGATACACCAATTCCTAGAGCATGATGTCAATGATGACGTTCTTTTTCCTTATTAAGAATTTAGTTCCTGTGGATTCTTTTAATCAATTATGATCAGTCTTTTGTTATCTTATTCACAGTTGTAGTCGAAATACATGAAATAGAAAGCAAAGATTTCGTAATTAGTTAAATATTCACATGTTTTACTTTCTCTCGATCAATTCCAAATGATTTTGAAACTTGTGTTGCATTAGACAAAACCAAAAAACTGATTTGGAAAGAACGTTGAAAACGGAACACAACTGACATGAAGAACCAACCACTAGGAGTCTAATAATTCTTAATGCTGAGCTCGTGTTTTTTGTTAGCAGGAATAAATTAATTACTTGAATTTCTAATCGGAGTTTACAATACTTCTAGTATTGAGAATTAGCGGCCTCCTAGTGATTTTTCATGCCAAATGTGTTCCGTTTTGGACGTTCTTGCAGAATCTATTCTTTGGCTTCACGTAATGCAAAGCATAAATCTTAATATCATCTGAAATTGGTCAAAAATACTAAAAAAAAGGCAAATTTTTAACCAATTTCGAAATCTTTGTTTTCTATTTCATATATGTCGACTACAGCTGGGGATATAGCAAAAAAAAACTGTTATTGATTAATATAAACAATCCACAGGAAGTACATTCTTAATAAGGAAATTAATGTCATCTTTGATATCGTGTTCTAGAAATTGCTGTATTTCTAGTAACATTATTTTCTACATAGTCGCTTCTTCTAAAAAAGTTTCTTGAGCTAAGTTATGTGAATCCTATTAAAAAAAAATGATAAAAATAATCTACAGGAACTATATTCTAAATAAGGAAATTAATGCCATTTCTGGCGTCATGTTCTAGTAGTTTATGCATCCCTAATACTGTCTTCGACATAATCATGGTTTCTAAAGAGATTTCTTGAATTACGTGTTTTTAATCCTAATCAAAGAGATAACAATGAAAACTCATTCTTCTACAGTATGAGATTTTTGGCTACGTGTGTACAATATTCAAATATAAAGTCAGAAGTTTGAATAAATTCAATCTATGTTGAAAACACAAATTCGATAGTATATTATGTTAATTCTTAATTAGAATTTGATCAAACTCCTGCTTTCCTTTTTTGCGAGATCTCAATCTTTTGATATATATATATCATCAAATATTAATTGATGAAGAAATAATCTAGAAAAAAATATATCAATGAACTACGACGTATATTTACGGGATTTCAAAATTTCTCCAATAAAGTGTTCGTCAATGCATCCTCTGAAATTTCGCCAATAAACGAAACGAATGTCCTCTTGGCGAAAGCCTTAATAACAAAATTCCGACAACCCATATTTGCATGTATGCATTATCCAAACCATCGAATGAATCAGCTGGAACACATTTCTTTTTAGAATACATCGGCTAAGAATGAGCTTTATTCAAATTTTATTGATTTCATTCACATTTAACAAGGTGAACAATCAAGATATGTTGTTCAAAACACTGAAAACTATGTCATCTCGACCTCTTTGAGGTACATTTGAGTAATAACCGAGTTGACGTACAAGTGATCTTTATCAATTACAAAACTATTTAATATAATTTTCTGTAGTTTTATCAGATGTATTTGAACAGATGATAACTTAATAAGTCTTTTCGTCATTTTCTATTATATACAAATTTCTGATACATCCTGAATGACATTTATCTATGAATTGTTTATTTGTTATTTTAGTCAATGAAAATTGATTGCTTTACGCTATACTCTTTCATGACATGATATTAAATGCAAAACATAGTAATATGTATTGGTTATTTAATTTTATGAGAGTAGGTTAAACTAATGATATCAATATTCATTATTAATCGTGTATTAGTTTGAAATCTATGACCAGCAAGGGCCATATTAAAATATTTGTATTCTTTTTTTTTTCTTTGTTGATGAGACAAATTATCTACATTAATAGTTTAGTTGCTTCAATGGAATCTGTAAATCTCATGAGAAATAAAAGAAAAGGCAATAGCATGTTGATGATGTGTGAATTTAGCTTTTAAAGCTTTCTTTTCCCTTTTGAATTGACTAAATTAAAATAATGAGAAACGGATTCCCTATAGAGAGCAAACAGAGTTTACAGACAAAAGTAGACGGATATATATAAGCATGCAGCAAAAATAAGATTAGAAACAACTTCATCTCTTTTTGTATATTTATTAATAGACTTTTCTTTAAATAGATAGGACATACCTTTCATTGCTAATGTCAATCATTTCAATGTATTTTTGTTGTTGTTTATCATATAGAAAAATCTTCTTATCAAATCAGTCTATTATCTTATGATTTTGTTGTTTGGTCTCATTGATAGACATTTATCATATTGCTTTATCATGGGTTGATAACCAGTTATATTTATTCGGAAGCATGGCATTTATACTTCATCGGCAGTTACTAACAGGATAATATACAGTGTAATTTGTTTTAGGTTTTTTCTTACAAATTGAATTAGCAACAGTCAGGGCGAAGATCTCTATGGGTATGAATATTAATTATTTTTTCGCCACCATCTTTTCTAGTATAAAATAGCTTGAAGAAAATGTGAATATAAAACGTTTGTTTTTGCTACTGAAAGCTTAACCATTTTGATTATCATGAGTTACATTATACACATGATCTATTTGATATGTCATATCGTTGTGCACAGGTTTCGTTTTCCTTTTATTATTCGTACTGATTATGAATATTTATTTCTTATTCTTAATTAATTTTCTTACTCTTCTACTACTATTAGAACTACTGCTGTTACTTTCATCAGTAATTGCTTCTGTTTGTGTTTGTAAGTACTGTCAAATATATGATGTCAGTGGTAAGAAGAGGAACCACATTAATAGAAAAAGAAAAAAAACGAGAAGACGAAGGAGAAGAAAACTTCCCGTTTCTCTCTTCTCGTTTTTAAGAAAGTCTTTTGGTATTCTTTCTTTGTCTGTTGTCTTGTTCGACAGTATACAACGATAGAACAACAGTTTATGCGTATAATGGAATCTGATCAAAACTAAAAGGTACACACGAATGATACAAATTTAAATAAC